TTATCAATCAAAATACGTTTCGGTGTATTTTTCCACCATCATCAGTTTTTATGTGTAGCGTTGTTGCTGCTTTAAGCCTTGGCATGCATTTTTGCAGGCAACAAATGCATGCCAAGACTTAAAGCAGCAACAACGCTACACATAAAAACTGATGATGGTGGAAAAATACACCGAAACGTATTTTGATTGATAAATAGAGACAATAAATGACTGAAACCCAGGAATTAATTTGATTTGGAATTGACACAGTCAGGAAAGTATATACAATAACTAAATTAGAATTACCTTGTTTTACCGACTTTCGATGCACTGGCGAGCAGTTTAATGCGAACATTTCAAATCTACGAATATCAGGCCGACTGGATTTTGTAGAAAATTTCAAAACGAACAAATTTATAAGCATTTATTTTTTTGTCTAAAATGCATGCTTACCGAGTTATTGTGGTTATGCGATTGTTTCCGGAAAAAACGCGATTTTCGCATTTCTTCACTTTTTTGTTGTTTATGCAAATAGCACACCTTTTCAAACTGGCGCACCTCAATATGGCGATTCCAATAGTTATCTATGTTAGGTCACGTTAGAGCCATATTTGTAAGATTTCGTCGTAATGCTCCTGGCCTATAAGCCATTTATCTATGCCGATTGCAGTGAGAGGAAAAATAATAAAGGGTCATTATATAAAATTATAGGAATTTTGCAAAATAAGAAAAAGGGTGATATCGTAGAAGCACGAAATTAAGTCATTAGAGTGTCAAGCGAGCATTCCTCTCTAGAACTTTAATGAAACCAAACCAATTGACATGTTTGAAGTAAACCGTCGAGAAATAATTTCTTCGGTCTCTTTTTTCTAACGCCCCTAACTGGAATAACGAAAAATACTGAAGTATGGAAGTTGATAATGAGAGAACTCTGACAGTCCTGTGAAAAGATATTGCTTTTTGCTAATGACTTTGTAATCTGGAATGCTTTAAAATGGGGTCGGCGTATTTATTTGAGAAGAATAATTAAATTGTGGTTTTTGACAAAGTCTGAAAATAGCACATAAAAGTTGAGCTTTTCGTATATTAATTTTCACTATAGTGGCCTTTTGTTGAATTCAACAAAACGAGTGTTTTTTTCGCAAATGGATTCGTTATTTTTCCCAAAAGTTTATTGCCGGGCATCCGAGGAAAATGGGGAGATAAACCGGATTTGATTGCCATTTTTATTAACTTATTTTATGTTTTTCTATGCCCCAGAACTTCGTATAATTAAGATATAATAGCTGGAAAGTAAGGGTACGATATTAGGCTAAATGAAATAAGCATTTTGTCCCTAAAGTCGCATAAGCCCAAAGGTTTTATTTGCCCGCCTACTTATTAAAGCTAAAATTCTGATGGTAATTTGATTGTTAAGGTTTCGTTTTGCAATTTTTTATTGATTACATCAAAGAAACATTCCGCTGAAGTCGACATTCATCTTTGTTTTCTATCAGATTCAGTTTCTATCCGGAATTAACTGCTTCTTATCATGAAAAGTTGATTTTCATCAAAATGTGAAAGTATGTGAAGCCGACACATACATCGGGGTGTTTTCAAGGACATGAAAATATGCTGACGGAGTAACACGTTAAATAGAAATTCCCACATCTTTATTAAGCTTTAAGTAAGATTTAAAAGGCCATGTCAGGGGCCCATGAGTTAATATCATGCTTAAGGAGGCAAGCTTTAGCCATAAATACGCTGTCGCGCTCACCTAGTTTCTTTGGAGCGTATCCTGTTGGTAATACCTTTTGTCTTTTGTCAATTTAAAAGTTAAATCACCAGAGACTTGGCTCAGCAAGGTAAGAAGGAAATGCGGGCTTTCAGAACTTCAGGCGGAATGCTGCTGCTTTTATTTCAACTCTCGCTTACTTTCATTTCTAAGTACGGTTCGGGAGTTGGTTACTTTAAAACTCTGTTGCTATCAACCAATACTTGATCTGTTTCTTTCCACATAATTAAACAACTTTTCTTTGGGCAGTTGAAAATAAAAGCGTTAAGGCAAATTAGTTAGTTAGATGAAAGTCGTGCGGGCTAATTTCAACACTTATCTGATGGCAGACCTGTTGAATATATAATGAACTTCGTTTCTGTTATATAGTGACATATTGTGCATCCCAAAATTCTCCACCAACTTATTATTAAATATTTTCTGCGGCAGAAACTGCAACTAAGTGCACGCTTTAAAGTTTCGAAACGTCTCGTCTTTTATGTCCATTTCGAACAATGCTGTGAAGTTGGAAAAACGGTTGCATGATGGGAAAATATTCTTCAAATCTCCGCTTTCAATCAGTTGAACAAATTAAATCATACCAAATATAACCAAGATGAAAACTCGAAGGATTCAGGTCTAAAAAATACTATTTTTATTAGTTGAGTTGATTGAAACGAAATTCGCTCAAAGGTTTGCAAGCTAATAAAAATAAAACAAACTTGATGTTTCAGTGGTCAACTGTACATACTCCTAATCATTTGCATGGGTTTGCAATTTTCAAATATTTTAACCTGTTATTGCAAAAGAAAATGGAACAAAGAACCCACATTTTTTCCTATCTTCTGAAGGATAAACAGCGAACCGAACAATATGCACATTTTATGGCTAACAGATACCATGCTATTATTCAAGCGTTTGATAACGCTAATAAAATTCCTATTGTTTCACTTTCAATGATTCTTCAAAATAACTACGACGGCTTGTATAATGTAATTAACAATAGTTATTATAGTTGGGTGTATGAATGTATCTGTATTATTTATATGTGGTGTTTACCAATTTAAATTGAATGTAAATAATTTTGTCAACTTATAGGCCACTATGTAGAACATTGTTTATAAATGTATAATACTGTAATAAAAATTCATAGCTCAACTGTGAACGTTCCAGTCCACTTCTGAATTTTCAGGAACATTTTTACTTCCCGATTAAGTAATCGCCAGTAGGTATGTAAAAAGAAAACCCCAGGCTCGTATCAATCTTTCCTAAATATGTTCTTTAGGGCCCTACTGAAACTCACTCAGATTGATTTTCTGGACTGAAATTTAGTTTTGTAGAATTCTACAAATTTTTTTAATAAACATTTTGTATTGCCCTTGCAAGCCACAGTGTAATCTTCAAGTGATTTTCTTCAAATGTCAGGTTTAATCGAGGGAATCTGTTACAGCGACACGAGAGAGAAGGCGCTTCTGACTGCGAATAGAAACTGTTCCATATGTATGATAGGAAATTCCACAATTCACTGATGAAAAGCAAATCTCTTTACCGTACTCAAAATAAATGCACGGAAAAACGACTAATCTGGCTCGCTTTTATCATGACAAAAACAGTGGCAGTCCTAACCGTTTTCAGGGAAATTTTTTCAGTTGCTAACTAGAATCATTAAATAAATGAATAAACAGTCATTTTGAAGATAAATTCTTTATTGTTGAGGCGGATTCATGTTTTCACAGACCGTTTGTTGGGTATTTCGCCTCAAAAAATGTTTGTCTTTAAAAAAGACAGAATTTCCTCACGTCTTTTATTACAGATTGACGAGAAAAGACGTGAGGAAATTCTGTCTTTTTTAAAGACAAACATTTTTTGAGGCGAAATACCCAACAAACGGTCTGTGAAAAAAGTAATTTTGAGCTTAAATTTAGTTAATAACAGTATGATACGATAAGAACGTAGTAGCAGGATTTCAGATCCTTTATCTGAAAAGTATAAGTCTCAAGTTCATATAGCACTATTCCAAACCCTTTTTCAAAAATAACCGAATTCAGATTTTCAAAATAAGTTTTATTTCATATTGTATTTGCTTGTTCACCGATTGTTTTCAGAGTTCTCGTACTGGAACTGAAATCCCCATTCGTGTGAACTAAAAAGTTATGACTGAAACATTTTAATCAATCATCAATTCAAACTTGTTTTAAACTCCTGTTGTATGTTTATTTTCCATATCACTTCACTGTGCGTTCCAGTCCTCAACTTTCCATCATCCCAAAGAAGTAGCCAATGTATGTTTGCTTTTTTCACTTTGTAAGAACGAAAAGTGTAAATTAGAGCTGGATTAAAACGACTGGACGACACTGGAAAGCTTTTTACGGATTGTGGTTGTTCTAATTTCTTTGGTGAATTTAAAGCTCACTCCAATCAATTAGCAATTATGTTCAAAGGCCATGATTCATTGTCCCGTAAAAAAAGCGATAAATCTTCAGATTTATGGTTAACACATCTGAAATCGATAAATTCCGGGAGAAGCGCAAAGTTATTGGAAATTTAAATCCAGAAATTATTTTATTACTTTTCACGGTTTTCCAGAAAGCATCCCTGGAATCCGGGTTCTACGTGAACGGAAATGCCATATTGGCGTCTACTGCGTAGGTATTGTTTCGTAAGTTTTGAAATTAAAAAAATATATATTTCAGTTAAATAGATTATTGTAAAAAAAAACGATATTTTTCAAGACTAGACGACCGTGTTGCTAGTCATTTCTAAGAAGTCTTATCAAAAAGGCAGGTTCATAAATTGAGCGTTGCATGTATTGTACTGTACTCGTGCTGTTGAATTTGAACAGTCAATATCCATCAATAAAATGTCTGCTGAATTAGAATTTTCTTCATTAGACGAAAAGTCGGAAATGCATAGCGATTTTTATATAAGGAGCGAAAATAAAAGAAAAATTACTTTTAATGAAAGCGCGAATCAGGTGAAATATTTTAATATTGATGCTCCTCCAGTTGAAGTTAATCAAACGATTGTCGCGGTAAGTATCAAGTGGTTTATCCTGTTTTAACTAAATTTAGATATTATTTCTATGGAAATTGTGGATTTTTACTGGCTTTTTTTTAGTGCAAACTTTAGCAACATAATTGATCTTATTTGGAACATAATTATATCGCATTTTGCATAATTTTCATTGCTCGCATTTATATCTGCTCTGCATATTTTACAAATGTTTGTCACAAGATTAACTTTTCACCAACAATACTTTTGGTATAAAAGCTTTTTAGCTGTCCACAAGTATATCTCGTTCAATTCCCTTATGAAAATAATACGGAAGCGAAGCAAAACAAGCAATCATTCTGGCAAAACCACATAATCCTTTACCTTTTTCAGAAGGGTGGTCGTTTTTATCCCGTTTCAAAATAATTATATTCCTGCTTTCTTTCTAACGTGGTATGATGACCAAAACTGCTTTCGCTTATCATTGAAATTTCTTTTGATTTGGTTATTTTTCAACTGATCGATGTACAATTGTTCAGTGCAGCTCTCTTGTTATGATGGTAAATAGAATAGAATATTTTACAGAAAGATGGATCGATTATTCTTCGCCTCTCGGATGCGGCAATTATTCCTGTGAAGATCCGATACGCATTAAAGAACATACTGAGAACAAAGGTCAGAGGAAAAACTCTCCAGGAGTGGCTGAAAAAAATGTGCTTCTCGGCCCCTTATTCTCTAGTTTTTGGTCTGCTGGGATACATTTTTTACACTATTTATCGCAGATTTGTTTATTTCGCTGAAGGTGCAAAGCCTACTTAAATATGTTTTACGTAAGTAATAATAAGCACATAGAGTTTCCTAAGCTAAAAACGTTTTTTATTCATTACTCATTACGCACTAACTAATAATTATGTATAATAAATTATTGTTTACTTAAAAAAATGTGTTTTATTGCTGCTGACAAAAATACCACTATTTCAAAAATACAGTTTCTCCATGATGGTAAGTAAATAGTGTGATCATTTTAACACATTAGACAAACATGTTTATTGGATTAATTTTTTCATTAGTTTGTTGAAAATGTTTCAGTATTGTGTTAACAAACATTAATTTAGTCATCCAGTTAATTCATTAGAGCTTTGATTAAATCGGTCATACGTACATACTATCGATACCGACATCGCGTGAGTGTTCCCGGAATCGCGCAAGCCGCGCCATCTTTGAGCAGATCTGCTTATTGATCGATTGAAAAAGCTGAAACTTGTAATTAAAATTGAAAAATACAGTCTACATATATAATAAATCAAAAATAGTAAAATACAATATGCGATAGAAACTCTTTGAAACTGTTGTTTGAAAACAGTTGTATGGTTAATATACCATGTTTATGTATCATAACCTATGGCTTGACAGCTGTCGTTCAATCGGTAAAATAGGTTGCAAACTTAACGACGTTGAATTTTGTTGTTCTTTGACGAATGCGTGGTTCTTTACGGCAAAAATGCTATATTTTACCTAAAATGTAAACGAATAATAAATTGAAAATGGGACGAAGCAAGTTTCCAGGAAAGCCTTCAAAACACTGCCATAAAAAAAGGATAAACGTGCTTCCTCCAACGGGAGAATTAAATCAGGAAGGCGATAGTTCCTCAGTGACAGTTATTGGAGCTTCTAAAGAAAATAAACAGGTAAACATTCGGTGTTTTTCGTCGTTAAACATTTTCACACAATACCAATATATGATCAATCAGACAAAAGGGCAAAGCTAAATTAGATAAACATGGAAATGTTATTTTTAGGAAGACGTTCTTTCCGGAAATGAAGGTGAAAGTAAGCCCCAAACACAGAAGGCAAGGCCTCTTAGAAGGCGTCTGTCCAGAAAACTTAGTACAACAATTCGAACAAATGGGCGTCAGAGAAATTTTATATCGAAAATTCGTGGAAAAGCCGCCCTAAAAAACAACCGAACCGCCAGAAATAACCTTGCAAAGGGCCACGCTCGAAAGGAAACAACAAACTTTGCAGGAAAGTTTGTACTTCCCAAACGAAGTGTACATTCATCCAGAGTGATCAAACCCAACAAAAGGTTTATAGATTTAAATGAAACTCTGAGTATTAAAAAGAAGGGCTTAGCTAAGCGAGCCATCAAACAATCGGAAGATCAAAGTAATACTTCAGAGTCGGATGCAAAGGACACGTTAGCGTTCTCAAATGGCCACAGAGTTATATTGCGACAGGCGAGATTGAAACTACCTAACCAAGTGAGCACGCAGGGCCCTTTTTCGTCTAACCTGCATAATGGGCCCGGTACAATTATTTGTGGAGTGTGCGGTGCTGTGCGTTACTATCGGTTTGTGAAACAAGCCCGGAAATTCAACATTTATAGCTGTGAGTCGTGCAGAAAATTTATAGCTAAACAAATTAAGAGGCAAAATGTGGGTTCTCAAAACTCCAGTGTTCTAATTTGCATTGTGGGACAAGGAACGTGCTACGTACCACCAGTAGAACGAAGTCAACACTGGAAAATATCCAAATGTGCTTACAGATCACGCTGCCCGGCATGCTGGCTCAAAATGTGTCTAAAAGCCTACCATCTACCTTTAACATTAAAGCAGAATCTCACACAATTGCTTCCGAAGAACATGAGAGGTTTGGATTTTTCGTTTAGCAATTCGTTACCTCCCATTTTGTGGCAAAGAAACGTTCAAAGTCCTCTCGGACAAACAGAAACAGTTGTGAAGCAAAGACCTGTTAGATTTAAGCCTCCACAGAAATCTCAAATCAGTATTCCACCAGTCACATCCGATGTTAAAAGACAGAAGATTGACTTGAAAGGTCCAAGGGTGAAACATGTGTGTAGAAGTGCCTCAATAGTCCTGGGACAACCGCTTGCCATGTTTGGGGTTGATACGAGTGTTAAGAAAACTACTGTTGACTCTTCAGACCTACTGATCGAAAGAAATGCTAGTAACGACGCCTTAAAAGTAAATGATCTATGTAAGTTCGATTTTCCCAGCATAACTGATGAAGATATTTCATCAAATAGTGGCAGCTGTAAGAGCTTTTATGAGAAATCGATTATGCCGAAGAAAGAGAGAACCAAAAGTCTCCCAATTCCAAGTATTAAACAGGTAAACCAAAAATCTAATTTGTTACTGTTAATCAGCTCATCTAGATGGTAATTAGAACTTGTTTCTTAACGTTTTTCTTTTTTATAGCCTAGTATTATGTCTGCATCAGCTCAAAAAGGCATCATTTTGAACAACTCTCACGAGCTAAATTTAGAAAATAGATTTAACGTAGGATTCTCTCTGGTAACAACGAAAGAAATATCCACAAGTGCCATGTGTTTTGTCTGCGGTAGTGCAGGATTAGACAACATGTTGGTTTGTTGCATTTGCTGCGAGCCGTATCACATTTTCTGCATGGAAGAGATTAGAGCACCTATTATCTCAAAAAAGGATTGGGTATGCATTCAATGCACACCTTGCCAGGAATGTCAACAAGTGGACAAGATAAAAGTGAGCTGCCCAAAATGCCTTAAGCTTTATCACAGTGACTGTTTGACAAGCCAAAATGATGATAACTCTCCTAACATGGTAATGTTCCAGAATCGTGGAATCTATCCGAGTGTTGCTAATCCTACTGTTTTATTTGTTTTAATCTTCAGATTTGTAAGGATTGCACTAAGTGTCAGGACTGTGGTACGCCGACAGCGTACAATCTTTCCAGTTTCCCAGGCAATATGCCTTTATGCCTCAACTGCTTAGACAAGAAGCGAATTGGGAAGCATTGTCCAATATGCCAGCATTCGTTTGAAGAGAATAGCCTTACTAAAGTAAGTCAATATTTTTTTCTTTTCATATACCTACGATAAATATTTTTTGTATACTTATTTATTGACACTGAGCAAATAATTCGCCGACAACACGTAAATTTTTCGAACGCTTTAAAAGCCCTCGTTTTTAGTAAATAGAAAATCCTATTTCAGATGTTGGAATGTTCAAAATGCAAACGATGGGTTCATGCTGACTGCGAAAAATTAACGAGTGAACAATATGACATTTTAAAGTTGCTACCGGTTTCAGCAAATTTCAGCTGTAGTCAATGCTTGGGTGACGACAGCAATGTGTGGCATAAGGCGGTGCAATCTGAAATGCACAGGTGCTTTAGGCAAGTACTCAAATTGCTAGTCAAAAACAAGCCTGTTAAAAACATTCTAAAAAGGATTGGCTTTAAAGGATCATCATTTCGTAAATTTATGGCTACAAAAAGTCTCGATATTGATAATAATAATTACAATAAGAACGTTGATCAAATTTATTCATTTGACGAAAGCGAGAAGCAGCTGGTAAGCAGCAGCTGCTCAGTAAATACTCTGCTTGACATCAAATGCAGGCTATGCGAATATAGCTCGGTGAAGAGATTTGACCAAGACATGCAAGACGCTTTAAGAGTGTATGATTCTGAACAAGTCGTCTTATCGTATAGAAGTATATTTGAGAGCGTTTTTCCTTGGTTTTCGCCATTGCATAAAGCAGCTGAGAACGTACCTTTGTTACCTTACCGACACCTAACATGTGAAAGTTCGCAACTTCTGCCGAATAACGCTATTTTTCCCAAGAAGGAGCTGGATAACAGAATGTGCAAGCTTTGTCAGAATACCGGTGACGGCTTAAGTAATCAAGAGTCCAGATTATTGTACTGTGGAAATAATAGTTGGGTTCATGCAAACTGTGCATATTGGTCAACGAATGTCTTCGAGCAGATGGACAATCAGTTACAAAACGTGATAGATACAATAGAAAGTTCTAAAAGTACGCAATGTTCAATATGTGGCAAGTTTGGGGCCAGTATTCAGTGTCATTTATGCAGATCTTCCAGTTATCACTTTATGTGTGCCAGAAAAGCAGACTTTCGTTTTAGAATTCTGGATAAAGCGAGCTTTTGTTCTAAACACCAGCTAGAGAAATCGAATTATTTTCTGAATACTGAGGATTTTGAAGTAAATCGTGCTTTGTTTATTGAACAACATCCAAAAGAAGCAATCAGATGTGATCCCGAGAAAGTGACCTGCCTAATTGGTTCTTTGTGTATAACGAACCTGGGAAAAATCGAACCTATATTATCTGACACCGCCGATGCAATTATCCCTACGGGATTCATCTGCACGCGGCTATTTTGGTCTACTAAGGAACCGTGGAAGTTAGTTTCATACATCATAACGACTTCGATACAAAATCCTAATTGTACCATCGTGACAGTAGACAAAAATTTCACTATAGATCATTCCCTCGAACAAATCAAGATTGATCAGGCAATGAAAGAGTTAAACGACTGGAGACGCATCTGTGACAAAAAATCGGATGAGTTAGAGTCGGAAGATGAAGAAGAAAAGAACGGAACAGAGTTGCTGTCACCGGAGCTGACTGATACCATCCTCGAGGAGTTGCCTCATGATATTCTTGATGGAATCTTGGTTCAAGACATTTTTTCTAACTTTAGTTATGAAGATATGCTCAACTTGGATAACAGCAATACGGAAAGCATTACAGAGTCTCTTAAAAAACCAGACGATGAAGACTCATGTGCTGAAACATCTGATTTTCGATCGGCGGGAAAAGAATTAGTTCGACCTAGAATACCGCCATTGAGCCTTACCGTAAGTTACAAAGTAGACAGCAGTCATCCTTCGCCTCCAAAAAAGCGTAAGATATCCAAAGAGACACCGGCCAACTTACTGCTGCTTCAAGTCGATGGTGCGTTTGATGACAGCTCAAGTGAATGCGGTTCTCCCATTGGAACTGACACTATCGATGCTTGGGGTCCAATTTCAGAGGAGCCAGTTACTTGTGAAAAATGCCAGTGCACATATAGAACGCAAGCGAGCTACAAACGCCACTTGGACTCGTGCGAGGTGCTCTGTACAAGTGAGAGTGATTCCGAAAATATGGCGGACTTCGATTCGCATATCCATTGTGAGGAAGAAACGACTATAGTTGTCTCCCAGCCAATTGAAGTCTCCCAACCAACGCAACCCGTTCTGATCCAGGCGTTTGAGTCTTACCAAAGTCAAGTTCACACGTCTGTAGTCAATATTCCAGTTCCAGAACCAACGCCAGCACCTCCACTTGTTCCGTCGCAGCAAATTTCGGTACAGCCCACAATCACTATAACAGACCCAGCTCCAATTTCTATTTCGGTTCCCCTTTGTGTGGCTCCCTCCATGACGCCTCAAATCGTTCAGCCGTCCATAGACTTTCAACAGCAGCAAGCGCATCCGATGGCTTTGCAGCCGATGCAACAAGTATTGGTGCAAAGAACCCAATCAGCTCGCAGGGAGCCGATGGTTATCCAGCAAATGCCACCTGCAACAACATCCGGTTTTGTTCCATTTGTTGATACATTTGCACAACCCCAAGCCAATCAGAGTGTACAGTACGTGCAGCTGGCACCACAAGTGCAATCGCAGCCTCAATTGTTGCAAATACGGCCGGATGGAAGCGTTGTTGGAATCCTTCCAAGCATACAGCCAACAACTGTTATTGTTCAACAGCCACAACAGCTGGTCTTAGACAGCAGTGGTACTTTTGGTTGGGCTCAGCAACCTCAACCGCAGATTTATTATGGCTTTGAGACGATTGTACAAAATACTGTGATGCAGAGCCAACAGTTCCTTCCTACGCCAGTTCCTGGTGTGTTAACAGCCAATAGTAGCTACAGCACGACCACTCAGGTCTTCCAAACCAGTAAACTTGAGCCGGTACTTGATGTTTCTTCCAATAGTTTTGTACTGGTTAATTCTTCAGGGCAATTGGAAATTCCTCAGCAGTTTTCCCAAGGGCAGCCAGCCACTGTTGTTACTTCCCAAACCCCAACACTTATTTATTCTTCTCAACCGTCCACCACTCAAAAGTCTCTCACTACAGCGGCACAAAACTGCATCAATTTGCCGACGGCACCTTTTGTATCAGATCAGAATATTCCAATGAATGTGGTTCCTCCAATACCAAAACCTCCGACGTCACACGGAAGGCCTATGAGCAGAGTATTACCGATGCCTACCAATGCTATTCGGGCTTCAAGAAAGATCGCCGATGCTACTAAGTTGTTCCCTGAAGTGGAGAAGCCATCTCAAATCAAAATGGATGACAAATTTGTGTTCCCCAAAGATCTGATGAAAATCATTGACACGCCGAAGGCCAGAAATAGAAAGTTTGAAATTTTAGACTACAAAATTATCAAAGCTCAGTCTAAGTTGGAAGAGTGCAAAGTGTTTTCAGTCGAAGACAACCCGCTCAGAGATTTTGAACCTAGCGAAAAATTTTGCAAACTGTCTACCTACGAGCCCTTGAAAGAAGTTGAAAAGGTTCAAATGGAAATATTTGAAAAGCCCTTGAAGTCAGCTAAGTTTGATAGTTTTAAATCCAACCACTTCAACAAAACCGAAAGTGTGCAAAAGAGGACACGAATGGATATAGTAGCGATAAACAAAAACTCGAACATAGAAGTAATTCCACCGCGCCACCAGATCGATCAGTGTTTTCACGAACTAGAGAAGAGGTTTAAGATTATTAACAACATTAAGGAAGCACATCTCCCTGTAGAAAATGTCGCGAAAAAATTAGAGCCCTATTTGGAGAAATCAAGCCTCCTTGCACCATCCAAGAAAACGGCCAACTTTTGCCTAAAAAATAATGGCAATACCAGAGCTTTGTCAAACGTTGACAAAAGCCAAAAGCTCAATATGGTCCCCCCACTTGAAGCTCTACCAAAGCAGACATTTATAGACAATGCAATTCAATCAAACGTAGCACGAGTGCACCAGAATGCGGACATATTCATCACTGGTGCGGAAGTAACACAAGATAAACTACTTGACATGCCTCAACTCGATGATCTTTTAAAAGTGGAAAAGCCTGAGGTTTCAGATTCAAAGCCACTAGAAAATCAATCGCTTTCATTTTTTGATATTCAACCCGAGGAAACAGTTGCAGCCCACATCGGCAGGCAGCATGCGCCTCTGCTCTCTGTAAAGCCTCAGTTAATTCAGTCGCCTCTTAAACAGGAGAAGGAAACACTGAAGTCCATAGAGGGGAAAGCGAACAATATTCCAGAACCAAAACAAACTCCACGAAAGGAAACGGAACCCACGGGGGCTCCATCCATAGTCTACACTATGGAAAACAAAGAAGGCTTTCGGTACTCTTCGACATCCATTTCCGATTGCTGGGCCAAAGTACTGGAAGCTGTGCAGTTGGCTCGAGCTGCTCATAATATGCCTCCGCTTCCCACTGATGGCAAACAGATGAAATCCGTCCAGATAACAGGTTTAAAGTCCAGTCACGTGAAGTATCTGGTAGAGCAATTACCTGGCGCCTCCAAGTGCGTTAAGTACAAGCCTCTGTACAAGTTCACCCCGCATCCGTATGATACTGCTGAATTGTGTTCTCATGGATTTGGAGCTGTTCGCTGTCAGCCACACGAAACCGGCAACTCTGACCCCTACGATATGTTTAGTTGGCTGTCTTCCAAGCACAGAGGACCTTTTACGTCGCTGGGCTCTCAAGCTGTTCAGTCCAGGTATGAAATATCGGTTTTTTTTTT